TCCCCCCCCCCCCCCCAATTTACACCTAACATGGAACAACCCAGGTGTAATCACTTCATCCTTTTTTGACTCATTATGGCCTCTTCGGAGATCATTAAGCAAGTTTGGAAAAACAACATGTAAATTTCTGTGTTATTGTAATCCTTTTCTCTATTTTCATTCTCCAGGTATTTCAAAATCAGGGGCATTCTCCTTGTTCAACACTTTAAAAAATACGATTTTATGGCAGGCTAACATTTTAATGTCTTTTCTATATTAATAGTCATCTTGTAGGCCCATGTTTAAGGAAGATGTCTTCTTCCATTTCTATAATAAAAAAATTCATTAAGTGCTTCTGTACTTTTTGAGAAGGTGAAAAATGTCCAGAAACTTTTTATTACGAAAGACCCAATATCACAGGTGAGCAAATCATGCTCCTTTTTAGCACTGTTGTGTAAAAGTAGTGCAGACCATTTAGCTTTTCATTTACTTAGGCAAGAAACTTATAGGATGACTGGAATCTGCCAAAATTTACATTCGCACTGTCTGCTGAATATGTAGATGGATGAGCAAAGTCTAGTTTTATGTTTTCTGCAATATCATTAAGATCTTTGTAGAAATCCAGTTTTCTAATCAAAGTATTTAAGAGCTGGCGGGAGGGGCACTTTTTGTTGTTGCTGCCATGATTTGACAAACCACCTGACATACTGTAGAAAGTATGATTGTTGGTGAAATCTGACAGCTCTACACTGCAAGGGGCCAACACGTCTGTTACCAAAATTTCCCCTTTTAATTCCCCCACAGGACATTTAGTTGCAACAGCCGAATCAGGAAATGTAACATTATTCAGCGCATTCATTTTTTTATTGCTGCTATAATAAATTACCACAGACCACAATGTTTAAACATCAAATGACACAAATTTAATATCTTACAGTTCTGTAGAATAGAACTCCGACTAATTCTCACTGGGCTAAAATCAAGGTGTCAACAGGCCTGCGTTCATTTCTGGAATTATCAGTATTATTATTTTATCAACTAAGGTTCATAATTTACACTGTTTCCCTCTTTGTGCTGTACAGTTCTATAGGTGTTGCCAAATGCATGTGATGTATCCACCACTACTGTATCATACAGAGTAGTTTCACTGCCCTAAAAATCCCCTGTGCTCTTTCTGTTCGTTCCTCCCCCTCTTCCCCCAGAATCCCTGGCAACCACGGATCTTTTTTACTGTCTCTATAGTTTTGCCTCT